GAGCAAAATATAACTGAGGTCGAGTTGGCACAGACTTCTTTGCTTTCACTTGCTGCAAAGCATCTTTTCGAAAAAGATATTGAAAAATATAATGCACGTGAATCGGAACTCCGGCTTTTAGTGGTTCTCGGATTTCCGTCATATATAACTGATTTGTCTGTGAGCTGGCAATAGTATAGAAAAGAGTGTTCAATACGAACAATGTGGTATGTMCCATGTCATATGGATAATGTGAGCAGACTTACGATCTTAGATGCTGCATAGAGGTTACTTAAGATTTTTCTTGGCAGAATGAGCCAATAAATCACTTTTCTAAGGTGTAAAATGTTATACTTTTACCTAATGTAATGGCCTTTTTAACGAAAATATACAAGTCTTTCACATGGAAAATAGATAACAGTCGTTTTTTTAGTTTTGTATTTGTTCTTTTTTTATCATTGCTTATAGAGACGCCATGCAACWTCACCTACGTAGTAAGATGTCCACTATTTCGGCTAGCTAGGACTCGGCTTATTACAACTCGAATCGATTTTGATATCTCAGTCTGTTGCTTTGAAATAAGCCATTAGTTCAGTACAAGTTCAAGACTGTCTCGTTCCGCTGAAGATCATACACACCCTCTTAATTTGAGGTCAATAATGTAGACTACTGTTAACTTGTATTGCCATTATCGACAACAGCTATCCCTCGAATGTAAAAACGAGCTGCCTCCACATGCTAGAACCATTTAGAAATCATTAGCTAGTTAGTACGTTAGCGTATATTTATGATAGAGACAAGATGAGGGATAATGAATGTTTTGCTTCCTGGAAGCATGGCAATAGACCCTTTGTTAAAATGGCGGCTGAAAACGCAAATGAGTTAAAATTAAAAACCTATTCCAGGACTAGAAAGAACGCCTTTACTTTAGTAACCCTTTGAAATTTGAAATTTGAAATTTGACAAATTATGACTGATGAGGGTTTACCCATTATTTGCCAGCGGCTTATTGTTTCCAGAAAGATAAAAAACATTTAATTAAATGTGTTCCTTTCGTTCTGGTTTATCCTTTTTTTTTTGATTCCCTTTTTACCCTTAGTCCTTCCTTCTTATTTCGGTTTCATTTTATTCGTTTACTTCGTAGATTTTGTTCTTCTTGTTTATTTGAGTATTTATTGGTGGATATATTGTTTTCGTGTATCAGGAGTAGAACTCGAAAGTACGAGAGACCCTTTCGTACGTCAAACAAGTGGAAAATACGTGGTCAACCAAGTGTTTGTGAATATCCTGATCGAGTGTTCATGATATTCCTCTTGACTCCATGACCTTCCGTGGCTACACATTCCACACCTTGAGAGGAAGTTGCTAATTGCTTCACTGATCGATAGACAAATTATTTAAACAGTTAGTTATTCATAGTCTTAATGGGTTTTAAAAACCGCAAAGCTATAACATTGAGCTCGTGTCTTTTTTAAGCCGTGCTGGGAGCTATTTTTGACCTGAACAATACAAGGGGCACATTTTCTTGGTAATTAAACAACATCTTACAAGCGACGTGGAATCAAATCTAATAGAGGCTTTGCACCACCACGTGATGGCCGCTCTACAGGGGACGCAACACTATAGAGCCTTTTGCCCTGGGAAACTAAAATCTTTCTCTAGTAAATCAGATTTGACCAGATTCAATTGTTCCTGTCTCCTGTCATGGCTGCCATCACGTGATGGTCCAAAGCCTCTCAGACAGGTAGAGCAAACTTGATTGCGACTTTGGCATCCTTTCAACTTCACCGTTATTTTTAACACTATGGAACATAAGTTTTCATTTTCGATAATTAGACAGACACATCATTAGACAGAGACTACTATTCTAATTGATTTTGAAACACAAACTTGCCACCAAACTGGATAATGACCTTGCACTATGGTTATTTTTAACACTGTTACATCCTAAGGTGGTTTTGTCCTAATTGGCCTGAAAATCCTCTATTTTCTTTAATCCTTATTTTCTTTTTCGGTCGGGAAGAATAGGAAGTCTTGCCTTAACAACATCCAATCGCCGGCACTTTTGTACATAAAAAATCCATTGTTTTGTCCCCCAAAACAATATCTCTCGGGACTCAGTGCAAGGGGTCTATGTGTTGTATATTTTGCCATTTTCTTGGGAATATTAGAAAGCTATCGATTGTGTGGCCCTAAAAATCATGTATCAATAGAGACATGTACGTGCTATTACTCATTCTTTAGTCATGTGAACCAATGTGACGATTTAGGGTTTTAACTTTTGCCATTCACTTGAAAATGATTGCAAGCCATCTATGATGTAGCCCTAAACATCTTGTACACTAATGAAGACACGTATCATCTTGAATCGAAATAAATGATCTTTGGTTACAAACGTAGTAGGCCGGATAAACTGGTTGGTAGCTTTTTCGAATCACAAACCACTTATGCTAAGCATCTCAAACAGCGGAAAGAGAAACCTTTTTCAGGAAGTTCCACTTGCGTAGGCTCTACTGATGATTCGTAAAACGATACAAAATAGCCAAAAAGAAAATATTCGATCGTCAAAAACAACATGCCGAAAATTCAAAATGAAACTAGACTTTTTTCGAATTAAGGTCCGACCTAGTTCTCTGACAATGGCGAGGAATACTTAAGCTTTGAAATTTCTTGGCCATTCGCTTGAGTATTATGGCGATTTGGTCACTCTTGGTCACAAATTTCCTTGGGTGTTAACGTTTATGTTTACCAGCTCACAAAGGATAAAAGTTTTGAAATAATATTTTTTATTTGGAATAAAAAACATATGAAATATAACATACGGTAGATGATAGCATTGAAAGATCAGGAAATAGTCGGTATAATCATGAGTTATTTTATATTGAAATATTGAGCAGTCCATCGGTATCCAATTGATGAGTGCTCTGAGGAAGTTCACTATTAATGGAGCCCACCTCAAAATGTCGTTCTTTTCAACACAGTAGCTATTAGAACCCTCGGGAATGCAAATATACCTTATTATTGTCGGACAACAAAATATTTTTATGAGCTGCTTTGAACGTGAACTAAAACGGGGTATACTCTCTCCGGACACCTTTTTTCAAGATTGGTGAATGTTAGAAATATAGTTAATATTCTTTCAATCTGTAATATCCGAGGCACGRGACTAATATTTCTAGCTTTCAGTTAATTCGAGAATTTGCGACATTCTTGGAATAAGTGTCCTAAAGTGAGGCTGACTTACGTGCGCCATACGTAAACCTCATTCATCGCATCTGTAGAAGATATTTGACACCCACGCGAGTGTAAGGAAGTGTTTGAATACTTTATGTTAACTAATTTCCTCCACGGCAAATAAACGTATACGCATTCATAAAAGATTGGCAACTCCTTTTTCTAAGAATTATTTTTTGTACAGTTACGTCCAAGGTCATCTTTAACATCAGAAAGATGTTCATAGGAATGAAAATAGATGGATATCTACACATTAGAGATACGAGACACACCCATTTGCAATCACACCCACTCACACGTTTTAGAGATTTTCAAGTGTCAATCAGCTGTAGCGTCGTACGGAATATTATATTCTTCATTTTACTGACGCATCCAAATTCATTGCATTATATGCTGAGTCGCAAATATTTGTGTCTAGATATCTTATGTTCGCAGTAATGGTCCTTTTGTAATAAAATTTCGTTGCCCACACTGAGCCTGGATCAATACTGTGTTGAATTATGAACTAAGGGCTAGACGACCCATCATTATCTTGGGTAAAGCGGCAAAACTGCACGCGTTCTATTTGTGTATGTTTTAATCAGAATCAGACAATCCGAGGATGAAAATATAATACTGGTCGAACCGTATTTCCGTTATCAAAGGCTATTTATTAAAATCCAGTGACATATGTAGGCCTCTGATGCCCTCGTCCCAATCTCGGAGTATTGGGTTTTTGAAAAAGTGAACCTATATTTTGGGGACTGAGATTGAGGGTATAGCAGAGGAGGGTGGGAGTTGCATAACACTTAACATTTTAATTTAAAAATTGTCCTTCGTAGCATAAAAACAGTAAAAACCAATCGGGCCTATAACACTTAATATTAAATCCCATATACACCCTCGAGAAAGGACGGAGCGCCCAACCAAAAAATGGGTAGTTTTCCCAATGGAATACAGAATGTCCGATCAAGAAACTCTAATTCATAAGATTATTTAGTAGTTATGGATTTTTTTCTTGATGTAACTTTAGATTGCATTGATTCTAAGACAGGTATTTACAATTTTCAGGTAGAACAATGAATGCGGGATCGATGTATTAGTTTTAACATCCATGGATGCGCCTCGCGGTAACTTGGAACACTGGTTTACTCAGCAGATAATTTAAAAGAAAAAAGCTCATGAACAATGACTACAATCGTAACTACACTAGGAATAGCTTTAGGACCATCAACACAGAAATGGTGACCGCTGATTCTGTGACGGAGCCGTGTAGTCGTGCAGTCCCGTGGACCTCTGGAGTAGCGCTACAGAACGGATGGAAAGGATCAACTTCTGGGGCCATTTCAGTTTTGCAGTACGTCTTCCTCACGTCATTTTCGCAGTCTTTGGCATTTATGTATTTTCTGTGAGTCAAGTAGAATCATAATGATTTAGAGATATCATTAGAAAGTGATAAAGGGATCCTATAACCTACTGCATACATGCACCATTCTTTGTCTTCACTCCATAAAAAAAATTTTAACAGCTATATTGGCCTTTCATAATTTCTCAATAACAATATAATTGACAAACATACTAAAGAAAAAAGATAAGAAAACAAAGAAATCATATAAGAAAGAAGGACCAAGAGGGTGGGTGCGAACGGGACCTAGAGTCTCATGAATAACTATAAGGCAAGATATGGAAATGAATTAATCTATGGCTTGATCATAAAGTAAAAATGTTTTAAATCACAAAAAAATAACTCGCCTGCATAAGGATGGGTCTGTCTTGTTAACTTTAAATGCGTTGTAAAAGTCAAGGGCACATTTTGGTCCTTCGATATAAGCCTGCTGCTCACATGGTGCATACATCTGCACGAATGACCCCGATGGAATCGTAGTCAGATTGACTCTTTTACCAATCTCTTTTCCGCAGAACATCACATCAAGGTTGGTTAACGATTGCAGATACAGTTGGAGAAGAGTTTCCAAACCTTCCTTGAGGGAGGAGRTTCTGTTGACCAATGAAGCGAAGCATTTGGCAAAGACGATGTCGTGAACGCAAGATTGCATTTTCTTGTATGCATCGCTGAAAGATACAAAGGTGATGCCATGCGTTTTACAAGATATTCGACAAAGTCTTCCTTGATCATATAACCTCGATTACCGCTGGCTACAAGTACTGTACTACCTGTCGGTTACCGCAGGCTGAAAGGACTGTACTACGTACCTGCATGTGGATTACCGCTGGCTGCAAGGACTGTACTACCTGTGGATTACCGCTGGCTGCAAGTACCGACTTCCTGTCAATTACCGCTGGCTGTAAGGACTGTTGATTGCCGCTGGGTACATGGACTGTACTAACTGACGATTTTATCCACTGGTTTAAAGCAAGGGCACGGTACTATCTTACCTACAGTTTGACAACTGGTCTTCCCTGATCATACTATTAATGAATTCATGTGAACAGTTTCTGCAGTCTTTCTTCACTTCGTCCATACTACAGGTGGGTGACTGTCCCAAGACATGGTTCGTCACTATGGAAACACAATAAGTTAATATTATTATATTTGACATATTTGGCTATTTCAGACGACAAACATGAGGCATGACGTATCTTCTCGAGTGTTGCCAGTAAAGACAAGTATTACACTCAAGAAATAAAACAGAAGAGATAACTAGCTAAAAACAAGTGTGAGAAATAAAAAAGGTAGGTTGAAGTGGGAAGACATTGTTTTTTTTWTAAATAAAACAACAGTTAAACTGGAATATACGGTATTTTTTCTCGTCCATTTATCGGTCATTCTAACCACACAAATGTGCACAAATACTGCTCTATCTACAACAAACATCAATTCCACCATCYGTTCAGGCAGATGGAATAGCTTAAGCATTAGCATGAATTTGATAAAAAGTAACCACGACCATCTCTTCCCACTGAAGTTCACGGAAGAAGACGCGAGGTCTGATTTCAAGTGGAGCACCTCATGGCGGCATACTTTAAACCTTTTAATCACAGGATAATATCTAGTCTAAACATAGTCCCTTTAAATTTGTTTTTCACTTTGAATCAATCAGAACTAAATGCAACACAGCATGGCGTCAGATAAACGTCTTCAATGCACAAATATGATCACTGGCACCTATACTTTTACTGAGGACTGAGCAGTACAGATTACCTTTATTTCAAGCTGTGCATTTTTTTCTGATTACTACGAAGACTGAAGCTAAGCACTCCCCCTGCATTAGAATCAGCGAAAAACAATGTTTTTACGATGAAATTAGGAACGAGAAGGTTTTTTCTCGACTTTTCGTTGCATCATTTTTGGTGTTATGGGAAGTTTTAAAAAAAACGTTTTGAAAATCATAATTAGAACTATACTCTTACCTCACAGATCGATTTAATATATGGATCGTTTTTAAAGCATAGAAAGAAGAATGAAGTTTCGATAATTGATGTTCAATTTACAGTGAAAAACAGTTCTCGACAAAATTCGTGGCCCGCAACTCGGCAGGTGCAAAATTTCCATGTTACATTGTTAGTCGTGCTATGCCTTCTTGATCATATTTGACTCATTCAAATGTTTTATACTTAAATGTTATGATAAATGTTTTAAAAGTCAGATATGATTCATGCAACTTCGAGTTAATTCATTTGAATTTTAATGTTAGTTCAGACAAGTCGATCGTTATTATACTGGGTGTTATGGACAGTTCATCTCCATGATGAACTTTGCTTTAAATTGTATAAACTTTACAGTCGGTCTTCCATTTGTATTCAATGATAGTCATACGAACGAGACACAAATATAGCTSGTCGAGTAAATGGACTCGATTCAAAAGCTATCGGACAAGATTTTAACCGTTATTATTAAGTAAATATCTCCTCCAGGGTCCATTTCTTGCAGCCTTCAATTTTTACTTTAATGAAGTCAAACCTTCGAGTCTTAATTTGAAATATATCTGAAATTTTATATCTTTTTAGGTAAGCCCCAAATGAAAATTTTCTTAAGAAACAATTGAAACCGAACCTGTTTGAATTTCTAACGGGATTTCCTTGTCTTTTCGTATCGAAAAGGTTTTGTAAAATGTGACAAGTCTGAATATGATGCACGACTATTAGATCACATCCCGGGCGAAAAACTGTCGGGTGCACTTTTGGCAGTAACAGTTGGATTCAGTTGGAGTCTAGTTATTTAAATCGATTCAGTGATTACTTGCGTCAACTTTATCCTTTGCTTAGGATAACAAAATTTGGAGTTTTGATTCCTCAGTTTAAAACGAAACTGCTATTGCAATTCAGCTATATATAATTTGAATGACYCAGAAAGTCACGGAGCATCATCATCATCATCATTTTCCCCTTTTCGGACTACTAGCATCCTTTTTGGGAGCTTCTGTCTGCAGCATTTGCTGAAGCAGTCGCGTAAGGGCTGATTTGTCCATCGTAGTTCTCCTAATTTGTGTGGCATTGAATAATAATAAAAATTGAATTTGTGGAGTTTGYGTAGAATTCTTTCACACTTACGACAAGCCAGAAGTGTTGAAGTTGACAATTCGTAGTCTCATTCGGCATTACTCAAAGCAGTACATTCGCCTACAATAGACAACTACTATATTACTGTTTCATTCTTACCTAATATTACTCCAATAGACAACACTAACAGAATCCATCCACGCTGCATTGTAGACGCCAACCAAAACAGAAGAAAGTATTACTTTATTGGGTTAGTTTTGGTCTACAGAATCGCGGTGGTCGAACCTCACAAGGACAGGTGCACATGACATRGAGCATCATTGGTTTGTAATAAATTTCTTGCTTTACGATTGTCATATTTGCATACCAAAAACTCTTCACACCATAAAATACACCGCCCTTTTTGATCGATATTTTTCGGTTCTCAAATCCACTCAATTTTTCTACAATTAATGACATTGCCATCAAAATGTTTGATAAGCCGGACGCTATTTTAACTCGTATGTAATGAACTCTGAAACTTAAAATGAATTTGGGATATTTCTTTTTGACAAGACAATTTCTTAGCTAGCGTTTTGAAGAAATATATTTATTCATCATTTTAAAATGTTTGATAGAAATGTCGCTTACTCTTGAAATGAAAATAGGATTTTCCCAGTTTTAATTTCATAGACAGCCGAGAACAAAAAAATATTTTGTCACGAAATTTAACCAATTCATATATGTTTCTTGACATTGTTAATTTTTCCAATTATGTTAAATCTTTTCTTTTTTTTGTTTGAACTAACGTTGTTATCGATGACGCGAATCCGGCCATAAGGTTTCTCTATGAAATTCTTTACTATATAACAAAGGAGAAATGAAAAGGAATCGATCGTTGTTGGACAACATCTATGCGATTCATTGTTATGTTGTCACTATGTATAACTTGTACTTTTCTACACTCAAAAGGCTTTTAAAATCTCCAACAAGACTAAAAAATCGCGAAAAAAGCTTTACAGCACCATTATATATAACAACGATAAAGGTCTCCCCCACCCCCACCCCCCTCCTCCCTGGCTTCCTCCCTGGCTTCCTCTCCCAGTAAAAAACTTGAATCCAATTTTCATTTTTAAATAATCAAAACAAATATTAAAAGGTATGCCACATAGTTCATTATTTGGTCCACTAAGAGCAGGTCACTGAGGGATAGTTGCAGCCTTTGGTCCAGAAGGAGGGAATGAGAACGGAATTAGAATTTTCTCTAGCTCTTCCCTATCAGCTGGCAAAAGCAACACCATATAAGTATAAAAGCGTTCTTTATAAGGGCCGGATGATGATATGTAACGCGTTCTGCAACCCCTGAGGGGCCGTGACCACGACAACCACCCACCCCCCCCCC